CCCCAAAACTGAAAAAAATTGAGATACTTGAAATAAGCAGAGTTCACACTGTGCCAAAACTACTGTCCACATGCTAGAAACTTCTGAGAAGTCAGGAAGTACAAAGATAAAGTTTGAACTTCCATGAACTTAACTGACTTCTGTCCTGCAAAGAATATTAAAGCACGTAGTAAAAGGCTCTTTGGTAGTATAAATAGAAAAAAATACCCACAAGGAAAAATGCTGTGCCACTGTGGAGGAAGGATGGAAAAGAGATTAAAGACAACATGAGGAAGGTGTCCACTAAATATTTTCCCCCAGTTTTCAATCAGAATTTTTTAGGTTAAATTTACAGACAAAGATAGGGTGAATAATAAAAATGTGGCTATGTAAATAGAAATTATCATAGCTAGCAAAAAACTCAATTCAAAAAGTTAAATGATTGAAGTCTGATTAATCACCATCTCGCACATCTAAAAATTTCTCTCACATGTAATGCTGGCCCAGTGACAAATATTTTTAATAGCACCATCTAGTTGGGAGTGAAACTGAAAAATAGTAGATATGGTTTCTTAACTTACAAAAAAATCTGTGAAGAAAAATAAGAGGAGATGGCAGTTGGGAAATTACAGGCTATTTCATTGGACCTCATTAGTATGAAAGGCTTTAAAATACATTTGAGAGAGACAATATATAAAGACACAGAGGTAAATGAAAAATGGAAAAAAAGTGCAACAGCAATTTAGCAAGAGGAGACCACACAAATCATCCACATAGTCTTCTTAGATGAGGTAAAAGATTTTGTGAACAAATTAAGTGTAATAGGTCTCATCTTTCTTTACTTTAGCAATTCATTTGACATTGTGTTATACTCTACTAAGGAATCTGAGGACTAAGACATTTTGCATAGTTAAAAAACAGCTAAAGGAGAAATAATAGCAAGTAAGAGCCATTAAGAAGGGATTTATCAAATCAATTAAGATTAGCAGTGCATCTTCAAGATCCATTCTGGAGATACTGTTGTCCTCCCATAGCTCTTGATCACTGTGACCAAGGTAGAAGAGTACCTGCACATTCTAATGTCAGTAGAGTAGTGAAACGATACAAGTGGAGCAGCTGGAAGATGTGAGCCAGAGAAAGGGGGTAGGAAACAAGGCCTGGGGCAGAACATGAAAGGGAGATGACCCAGTAATGACAAATGAGGACTACAGTTGTCAATGAGAGAGTGACAGAACAGGCAGCATGATGAGAAAGGCAAGTGATGCTGTAGAACATGAGAATGGGGATTTCCAGTAGAACCTGGGAGACAAGGAGATTTCCCATCCAAAGACACTAACAGAGCTGAGCTGTTTAGCACAGCAAGAGGAGAGCTAACTAAGCATATAACTGCTGTCTAGAAATGCCTTGAGGAAGATACCTCCCAGTAGAAGTAGCATTATCTAATTCAAGGAGCAGCAAAAGCATGGCACTGGAAGGCCATGCTTTTGTACATGCCACACGCTCATCTAGACTGTACAGAATGGAAGTGGCTATAAGCATATGAGTTTTTCAAACACTCTTCCAGACTGGTGAGTAGGGGCAAAATTACAGCCTTGGAGTTAGAGGTTAATTCATAGCTGGAAGTATCACATGCTGTAACACACTCTACAACTGCCTGGATCCACTGATTGCATCCACTGGTCACAGAGGACCCTTTAGTTTTGCCATCATTGGTTTGATGTTACTGGTTTTATTTTGGGGACATATCCAACACACCATTCCATTTTTCAAGTACACTTTTCATTACAAAATTCCTGTAAAAGCTAATTACACAGATAAAGGCTTTTGCGATAACATAGGCTACTTGCAAGTGAAAATAAATAGAAGAATGTAGAGCCCAAGATTATTTGGACAGCTAGGGCTCACATAAATATAATGTTAATAATAATTAACATTTATTATTATTAACATTAATAATTAACATTAATTGTTTTGTTAAATTATTAATTAATACAAATTATTTTGTGAAATAATTCAGGGCAAACTGCAGGATTGTTTTTAACTTATTAGCTGCTTAGAAGTATGTCAGATGGGTGTTCTAAAGAGAAATTTAACAGAAACTGTATTTTTAGAACTTCTGCAGAGATTAATTTCTCCTGAAGAGAGTGAAAATTTGGCACTTCATATGAGCAGAGATGATCTGGCCCAAACATTCTTGTTTGCAGATGATGACTACTATATTATTCACTTTGCCTTGGCACAGTCAGTCAATAGAGGGAGTGCAGCAGAATAAAAAAGCCTTTTCTCTATTTGCTGATAACATTTTTAGCACATTTAAGGAGAAATCTGAAGAACCATAGTAATTTCTACACCCTAGAAAATGTGTTGAGCAGAGAGAAAAGGACAGAGAGGACATCAGTAGTTGCAAAATACAAAACAAAACACAGAAAAATGTCTCCAAAAGGGAATGTGCAGTAATAATCCTTAAAATACATTTTAAGAATGTATTTGAAAGAACCTTTCCTGGAAATAGCATCTGTTTATACCTATTAAGTTTACACTTGAAAACAAATCAGTGGATACTATATTAGGGATGAATATAATCCTTGTATCCAAAGTAATAAATTCAAGGGATTAGCCAGAACAATAGCATTTTTATCAAAGAGAATTCATTTGTATCCATCTTCACATTACCAGAAAAGTAGCTCTCTCCTAATTAGCAGATCCTGAACATTAACCTTTTGTCTTGACTGCAATCACTTCGATTAGTGGTAATGTTCAGCCTCCTCAAAACTTCTTTCATAAATTGACTATTCCCATGGTAACAGCTGCTACTTTCATTCTACAAACACCAAGAAAATGTGATTTACTTTACATCAGTGGGCCAGGCTGGGGGTGCAATTTTGGCCTTTGTCAATGCTTTTTTCAGATAAAACTGTTTATTTCAGAAGAAGAGGAAACAGGTGCAAGCACAATTCAGGAAACAGTTGTTGACTAATCCACGAAGCAGGCCTGGCAATGCTTTGAAAGGAAGCTGTCAGACAGCCTACCTGCAATGCCAATATGTTCTGTGGCTGCATGAGGGAAGGACAAGCATTTTCAACAGTAGCCACCAAAATTAAATCAATATTTTCCAGGGGTTGTTGTTTGGATGGCATATTTTTCCTTTTTTGCTTGTTTCTTTGGTGGCTCCACAAACAGTATAAAGACATCAGCTTAATACCCCCACATGAATAGCTGAGAAATGTAAATCAAGGATTTTCATTCAAATATTGAATTTTAGCCAAAAAGAACATCAATTCATTGCTGAGATGCTGACACAGCTTCAATGATTGGTGTCTTCATCTTCAATGCTCACACAGATCTATAAACAAAGTCTTAATCTCAGTTGAAGTAAATTCCCAAAGTAGCATCAACTTCGGTGGGACCAGCATTCACAACAAAGATACTTTTTCCCCAGCAAGTCATGTGAAATTTTTCAGAGTTTATCAAACCTGAGGCTTTTTCCAGAATACCCATCTGTTGCATATGAACTCATCTGATACCTTTACCGTATTTGAAACTGAAGGTTTCCATGTCAATCTGTCAGGGTGAGAATGGATAAAAGGAGATTCACATGTACTTCTCCAGCAATTCACTGAAATAATCAAGTTTTCCCTTAGTCACAAATGTAAGATTCTGTCAGAAAATAGAACTGCAATTTTCCAAAGTTAGAATTGCATGTTCAGTTTCTTAAATTGGTTTTTAAAATACATTTTTAATTTTTTAATGAAATTTTTAAGGACTGGCAGACAGCAAAGAGACTGAAAAATTAAACACAACTCTAGAAGCCTTTATTTTTTTCCCTCTCCTTAATTCCTCATTAACCCTTTCAGCATCAGACCAGGTGATTGCTTCCCTTGCCTTACATATTTTTTATTCCTGGCATAACCAATCCCTGTTGTTAATTAGACACTTTGAAAATCTGAACACTTTTTGGCATCAGGTCCACCTTTTTAGCCAAAACTATAAGTGTTTGAGGACAGAAAAATCATGGATCTCCTTTCATGAAAGTGAACCATGGCTGAAATTGTTCAACCTACATAAACTCTGCTCATTCCAGCAGATGTTAAGATTGCTTGGAAATGGACTAATTTCTCACCCTCATGTCTGAGCATTTATCGTGCTTCTGTATCTGCAGGCTTTATTGCCATCAGAAGGTACCAAACTAAATTCCAACAGTAAAGCCCACAGTTTCTCCCACGGTAGCCGAAAAGGAAAATGCCACTAGTTAGGAGTGAATAGGAGGCTGTAAATATATTGCAAGCACTAAGCCACTGTATTTATAGTTACATGAGTATCACACTGCACACCACTCAGACTTAAACCCTCACTCTGACACGGGATCATAATCTAAAAGGGGCCAAATTAAATCTCTCTGTTCTGTGCTTACATAGGGAAAGTCTGGGTTTGAGCTGGCACCCAGCATTCCAAGCTCATGTTTATTTTCACTCCATCTCCAAAGAAAAATTGGTGAATAATCCAGAGCTGCTCATCCAGGAAAGATTCCAAAGACTTGCAAAGTTCAAGACTACAGTCCATGGAAAAAACCAAGTGCACAGATTTGTTGGCAAGAGATGCCTCTTTCCACATTCATTTGCATGTGTTCTAGAGTGGTTCTCAAATAAGGAACAAGCTTGGGAAAAGAAGTATAAGGGAAATAATTGAACTCAACCTATGAATGCTATGAATAGCCCCCAACTTTAATGCAAAGGAACACCAAAAAATAATTCAAAGTACACAAAGAAACCAGAAGTATTCAAAGTCACAAAAAAAGTAGCTAAAAAATTACTGTAGATCAATAAAAAGGAGGAAACAGTTGGCAAGAAGGGTTGCCTGTAAGACTGGCAATATCATGGTAACAAAATCATTTTAGAGGACAACTCGTGTTCTGATGCCACAGCCCAGTTTTTCAATCATGCTACAGGCATTTTAAGTTATTACAGGCTACAGGATTTTAAGTTTTTACACCCACATCCCACAGTACTAGTACTAGTACTCACCCTGTCTGGTGCCTTTCTCTGCAGTCTGGCCCATCGTCCTCCTGGGAGAGAGATGTGACTGTACCTACACTGGCCCTGGAGTCAGGAGACACAAAGGAAGCAAGCAGTGCTCATTTTCCACTTTCCTAAAGGTTTGTTCTTTCTCTGCTGCAAAGCACCAGAGCAGAGCAACTGTACCTATATGTTTTACAAGGATTTGTGGATCATAGTAAGTTCAAGGACTGGATAGCCTCAAGCTGGAAATTCCCATACTGAAGAATGATAGATGGAGAGGAGGGGATCCCAACTACAATGATTTCCAAATAAAATCCTTAGAGGTTAAGTTCTGGCTTCTCTCCCCTCAGCCCTGCAACAACATCAGCTCAGATCTCACAGGAAGCAGGCTAGGGAGGAAACCACTGTCCTGACCCACAAGTCCTATAAATCTCACTCACTCTTTGGCTCAGGAATATCAATGTGATTGCCATATTTAGTGTCTTTACTATACTTAAAAAAAGATAAATCAATAATATGGGGGATTCAGTATGTTGGTTTGTCTTTACAATTATTTTAAGTGTCTCCAACTCCTGCAAAGCAATGCATCACAGGCCCTTCCTACATCATACGAGAGAAAGATAAACAGCATCCCTGCATCACTCTTTAAGTTTTGAGGTTTTTTGCATGCTTACACCATCTATTAATGGAACTTGTCCCACACCAATTGGTGAAATAATTGCTGTCAAAGCAGATGGTAAGACACGCCTGAAAAAAGTATTTGGCATATTTTTTTCTTATGAGAGGAATGTAAGAGGAAACTTATGTACTTTCCATTTCCCAACAGCTGAAACAAAAGTTTGATCAGCAGAGTTTGAGGAATAATTACCCAGCCCCAGTGGATGCATTGTGGTGGCTACTGGCCATGGCCCTGGGTGGGTGGAAGGGTCCGGCCAGCGCTGCCCGCGTGCGGCCGCGTGGCCGCCACGAGAGCGGCACCTCCGGGGAGAATCGTCTGCCCCCGATGGTGCTGAGCGCTGCTCGGGGGTGCGCAGCTTGGGTAGCTCTGCACCATGAGAGGAGGGGAAGGGATGGGAGAAGGACACTTGTCTGCCAGCCCAAAGAGTCCAGGTGGGGCAAGAAAGTTGCCCTCTGGGGGGGTGCAGTGACAAATGCCGAAGAAATCAAAGATTACAGCAACTTAAATGGGGGTGGGTGTTGGAAAGGATGGATAAATATAATTGCCTGGCAAAAAATTCACCATAGTACAGCCCGGATGAAAACAATCCCCCCTACTGGTTGGACAATACCGTTACCTACAGATAAGTCCAAAAGTCAAATGGACTGTTCCATCTCACCCCCCAAAATGTGTGGTTCATCCCACACCTGTAACCCTCCCCTGAAACATCAGGTGTCTGTGACCCCATTGGCCCGAGTCTTGTTCCAGCCCACCTTGAAGTCCCCTGATAAGGGGTCTCTGAGGGGTCAGACGCCCTCTTGGCTCTTCCCCTCTCTTGGAACTTCCCCTCTCTTGGATCTTCCCCCTCTTGGAATCCCCTCTCTCTTGGAACTTCCACCCTCTCCTAGAGCATCCTCTCTACCGGGTCAGACGCCCTCTTGGCTCTTCCCCTCTCTTGGAACTTCCCCTCTCTTGGATCTTCCCCCTCTTGGAATCCCCTCTCTCTTGGAACTTCCACCCTCTCCTAGAGCATCCTCTCTACCCCTTGTCTCTCCCCTCCCCCGTCCCCTCAAGCCTCACCACGTGCTGTGTCTGGCAGCTCAAAGCAGGACCTTTCTGCATCCCTAAGAAAACTGATATTCTAAGAGCAGCCTTCAGAGATCTCTCGTCTCCATTCATCCAAGCTGTCCTGGAGCGCAGCTTTCCCTACAGGGGGTGGACAGGGGCACAAACCTGTCTTGCCCAATGGGGATAAACCGGAGAGGGATACAACAACCTATGATAATGTAACAGGGGTAGGTACAAGGTCACGGGACAAATAGAAAAGCTAAACTGGAGTGATTGATACAGAACTTTCTGGAAGAAACTGGGGGTGGTTACAGGATTGACAGCCAAAAGGGGATAAACAAACTCAGGTTGAGGAGAAAACAGAGAGAGGTGAGAAGACTGACAGATAACTGGGGAGCAGAGTGGCAGGAACTTTTGGGGAAACAACTTGGATCAAACCAACTGTGAGAGGACAAATGGGGGAGCATAAAGGCTAACTAACATTAATAAAACCAACTGACTAAATCAAACCACACCACAACAATGCATACCTTGCATCTAGCTCCATCTAATTCCCTCCTCTGTGGTTTATTTGCCTCATGAGCATGCCATGTGCTGGGGGCTCCTTGACTGACAGCATGGTATTGAATCTGCCCCAGGCACCAGTGCTCAGAGAGCAGCATTGTGAAGCAATTCAAGATACCAAAACCAGGAGCAAATTCATAAGGTCCTCATGATAAAGAGGCACTTTTTTTTTCTATATTCCTTGCAGTTATCTTTGAGGGATGCTGGCACAGTAACATTCTCAGTGGGAAACTACTGCTCAGTGCTGAATATGTAAGGTTAGCCACCTTACATATTCAAATAGAGATATAAATAGCACAACATTATAAAAATTAGCAACAGCACCAGAGGTCTGTGTGAGGATCAGACCTCAAAACCTGACACTGTGGAAGAGATGCTGCATTGGAGCTATCCAGGCAGAGGCTCTGCATTTGGAGAAGGAAGAAGAGCTTGCCAATTGGCATTCCATCAGTTACTTGCTGGCCAAGATTTTCAAGGTTGAACTTTATACCCGTAGCTTCCCAAAGGTCACACTTAGCAAACTGTTGGGGCTTAACAGAGCAAGGATGCATTTGACTCTTATTCCAAGGGCCTTTCCTTGATATTAATATTGATGACAGTGGAACAAACATCTCAATAGATGCACAGAAAGGCCAATGCACAAATGTGCTATACTCAACATATGGAAAAAGTCTGAAGCCTTTCAAACCACTTAATGAGAAAGCTGTGGAAATCAACAGCAGAAGGAAAAATCTAAAATGGGAGGAAGAAGCTTCTATACTACCATGCTAATTTATATTGTTAGAGAGGAAAGTACATGGCAATGTTAGCTATGCTGAGGATTTTCAAAAGTTGCATTTATTTTTGGTTTTATTTCAAAAATAGTGTTTCAATGAATATGCATCATGCTGGGTTTGTGGCACTGGTAGTGTGTTGATCACCATGGTACCTGAGCACTCAAGCCAATGATTAATCAGTGGAGCAAATGAAACAGAAGCTGAGAGCCAAAATGCACTGTGACAAGCTCTTCATAGACCTTATGTGTGCCACAGCATCTCTGCCTAGACTTCCTTCACGCTTTCCACTGTCTATCTTCCCTGCTCTTAGGATAATCAAATCTTTTTTTCTAAAAGGTGCTAAGGGATACAGAGATCTCAGACTAGCTCAGGAGAAAGGAGGAAATAAAAAAATCCCAACAAACAAACAAACAAAAAAAACCCCCACCAATACATAAATATTTTCATCAGGAAAACATTGCTTAAGCACACAAGAAGGAAAAAAAATTCATTTCCATAAATTGATTATGAATTGACAAACTTTGTTATGTCTGCCCAGCTATCAACCTAGTCTTTAAAACTACTGTTCTGAAGAGGGAAAACAAGTCTTTGCTCGCTAAGGAAATGACCTTTCAAGGGACTGATGCAGACTGTACTTGAACACCACTGTTAGCTTTATCTAATGATAATGGAAAGAATACATAAAAACATATGGCTATGTGCCTTCTTGAAAAAGACCAGAGATTCCAACAGCCCCTCTCCACACTCCAAATAAGCAACAAGTTAACACAACTCTGGTGATGTTTGTTTAACATATGTGCATGCAACTTGTGTGCGCTTTTTCTTGCTTGGGATGCTTAAGCAGAGGTCTCTGGATTTTAGAAAAGGAAATCTCCTGTTGAATTATCTACCCCTTGCTGGTTTGTTTTCTGTACAAAGTCTCAGAGGGGCACAGGAAAGCCGAGGGCCTTGCATGCAGGCCAACTTGACAAAGGTTAAATCCTTTCAGTACGGCAGAACTATAATACAACCCTCACTGAAGAAGTTTCCTGTTTTCCATCACTAATCAAGGCAATGATACTGCATTCTAATTAAATTGATGTCACGTGGAGTTTTTCCTCTTTACTGTAGCTGCTTCACACTTAGGAGGTAGTTACATCCAGTTTATCCTTTAAAAGAGGAGTAGGTTTTGGGGACAAGACCCCATTGCCAGCAATGAAAACCCAAGTGCTCACTTCCTAGTGCAGTTACAAAATGTTGTGCCTCAGCAGCAGCAGCAGCAGTTTTGAAGTAGATATAAAGCGCTGCACTACCCACTTATATTTGAATGTGAAACTCACTCTAAGCATCAGTCTGATTCTGTTACCTCTCCTGTGTCTAAATCATATCCATCACTGTCGTCTCTAAAGATTCAGGTCCTCTGTGCACTTCATCAGGCATTATAATCGAAGCTAATGAAAGACATGTTTGTTTAGCTGTTGTAAATAGCTTTGAAGATCTTGGTTTCAGCCAGGGTGATGAATTAAGGATGTCAGCTGGGCAACAGTTTAATTTGGAATGAATTTAGCTAAAATGGATTACTGAAAAAAACCAATATGGATTTTTAAAATTTATATTATTTCACAAGCTTTAGCAGTAAATATTTTACTCCTTCTTACCATCTGAGTCACCAGGCATAGTACTGGAAGAGAATCAGCAATGACACCAGCTTCTCAAACACAAGACCAACTTAGGATACTATAAACAGGTGTGAAAAGCCACTTTTCGACTGCAGCAGGGAGTACAGCCCTCAAACAGTTTATCCTTCAGCTGACTACATTTCTGCTTAATAGCAATTCTACAGAGCAACCTGAACATGGTAATTAAAGTATTTTACAACAAAACTCAGAAACCAAGAACTGCAAAGAACTATTCTGTAACACTGTTATTTATTAGAAGTACCTGGCTTTTATTTTCTCTGGTGCATTTTCAAATGAATTAAAATAATGACTTAAGGGGAAAGAAAATTATCTTTAAATAGTGGTGAGGTTTTTTTTCCTCTCCCAGGTAATTTGGAGTCAGGAGGAATTCAAAATAACAGCATGATTGTTGAAAATTACAGGGTAAGGTTGGAAACCTCTAGAGGTCATCTAGTCCAGCCTCATGCTCAACCTAGTGCAACCTTAGAACAGATCATTAAGACTTAAAAGGCAAAGGAAATAATTTAAAGCAAAAATAAAGAAAAAATAAAGTGTTCCTCTACCCCCTTTTGCACAAGAAGGAAAAAAAAATGCAAGGAAATATTTTCTTGAAACATATAGCTCTTCTCTGTTGTTTGTAAGTAAGCCCATCCTGGAAGATAGATTAAAGTTGCCACCTTTAGTTGACCTAGTTCCCTTTCTGCCTTGATGCAGGAAACATTTAGCACAACGTGTGGCAAACTCTGACTCAGTTGCCAGCATTGCTCTGCCACACTGCTGGCCAGAAAAAGCTGGGAATGATGCATGTTCGGCTCCAGTGACAGGGAAAACACTCCATATCATTCATTAGCAGTCTGCTCCAAGTTAATTAAGGAATGGAGCTGACAGCTGCTGAAGCAGGTTCCACCCCATCTTTTCCTGGGAAAGCAAGGCCTCCAGGGCAGGGCCTGGACTCCACAGCAAAGAAGAATAGGGTGGGGGAACCTTGCAAGATCTCAGTGAAACCCAGATGACTCATCAGAAAGTAAAACGTTTCTATTTTGGCAAGAGGCTGAAATAGCATCCCTGGGTTGTGCTGCAGCGCAGCAATAAATGACCCCGAGTGCCTGGGACAAACTCCTGCGCACACTGATATTCCTAACAGCAGGGGCTATTTCACATCTCATTAAGCAAAGGGGTTTACATGACAATTAACACATTAATTAGTAGCATATTTTCACAGGTGAAGCTTTGGCTTGAGATTTCAACATTTTTAGACAACTGCTCTGTGAGTGAAAGTTAAGGACTAGTTTATTATGACTCAAGGTGACAAGGACTTACAGGCACATCTGGCAAAAGAGTGTGTTTGAGTACTGAAGGACGCTGCAGCCTGGCGATGGCCTTTCCCATAACCTGCATGGAAGGAGGGCCTCCTTGTACTGTCTGCACCCTGCCACTCAAAGCCCAGCCCTAGACATGGGCAAAGCGTCAGGCTGGCCACTTCATCAGCTGACCATAAACAAGCCTAATGTACCACAAAGTCACCCAGGGACAAAGCAAGGCCTGGACTTCCAGGAGCAGTAGCTCCCATTCCTCATTCCCATGCCTCAGCCCCAGCCGCTGAACCGTGTGGCTCCCCACTACAAAAATCCCTTTGACTGTATTTATAGAGACATAACACCACACAGCAAACCCTGCTAATTTCACTGAAAATAGGTACCAGTTATAAGGGATGTTCACTGCCCTACACCTTCACATCTTAGATACAGAGTTAATAATTGCTTTAAAGAAGAGTTGGCACTATTAAGCTGCATGAATATTTCTCTCTGAGGTTTTTGTCAATACCATCTTAAATTTCTATTTTCTTTTGAGATAATGGATTTACAAGTATACAAGAAGATGTAAAGTACTGTAAAATTGAATGAAAGGAAGAACAAATTGGAAACTGAAAATTGTAGCTTTCAAGATCAGATGGATTCTGATAGTCATTGGGTCCCTTCCCTATCAAATGGACGTTGCCAACCCACAGGATGTAGTGGCATGCTTTGTATACATTATCTTTCACCTCCCTCAGGTACATACTGCAAGGAAGCTGTGTTCTAAACAATGTATAAACTAACAAAAACCACACAAATCTTTTACGTTTTGGCACTCAAAGCATAGATAAATCACTAGCCTCACCTATGATACCACTTACAAAATAAATCCAAGCTCAGGAGGAATACCAAATAACTTGTCCTTTAATTAACTTTTAAAGGCTGATGGTTTGTTTCAGAATATGATTTATTTATTTATCAGCCTGCTTTGTTTCAAATGGGTACTGACTGACCTCTAGATACCCTTGCATTTGCCCTGTGATATCCTCAGAATGTCACTGCTTTGATTCTTCATCTTTCATTTCCCAAACATTTCTTTTTGGTCACTTCTGGTAGTGGTGGCAGCTGAAGTGGAAGTTTATCTTCTGATAATCTGTACTGCTTTAATGGTTCCCGGCATCCTGAGGATATTTTCCAAGTGTTATGGTGACACCAGCTGAGATCTTGGCAATAGAAAAGTGTTTCACATGTTTATTTTCTAACTTAGTCTCTTGTGTTTTTTTTCTGTTTTCCCAAGCCTCTGCCACCCCTTGATTTCTATGGCTTAACATCTTTTGTTATTACTATATTCCTAGTTATCCCTTCTCAACATCTTTCTGATTAAAAAGCCTTTGAGAAACCTGAGGGCATTCCCACTATGCATCCAAAAATCTGTTAATAAATTTCTCCAAATCTCCAAATCACATATGTCTAAAAGCTGAGCAAAAATCCCCTCTACAAGGAACAACAATAGTCACATTTTTTTTTATATATTTCTCTATAAATTAGAGTCTAGGAACTATAGCACATAAACCTTGTATAACGATGAGCACGTTTCAAACAGTTCTAATAAAAAATATGACACATAAAACAGGTCACTGGTTTTAGCATGTCTCCAAAATAACATATGCTTGGAAATGCTTATCCTTGTAGCATCACTATTCTCTTTTTTTCTGTGAGAAAATGAATCATGCAGAAGCATGCCTGAAAAAGCAAAATTCTCATATAATTTCTATCACTCACTCAGTGTGTTCATGACTTTTATACAGCTGACTGAACATTTATTATCTCACGTGAAAGAGAAGCTGTGAGTTTGCTCACCTTTGTCACCTGCAGGATCTTTGAAATGCCTCCTCTCCTGTTTCTTCCAAAGAGTACGTTTCTGCATCTCCCAGTGCATTCCCGAGTCCACTGAACATGCAGACATCCATAAGTTCTGGCTAAGTTATCCTACGTAACTCTGAAGAGAAAAGGACAGACTTGCAAATGCTGTAGAAGGTCTTCTTTACTCTCTTTGAACATTTTGTTTTCTTGGTGCTCTGTCACAGTCAGGTCTCCGGTAGTAAACTGAACAACCTATCCTCCTGGCTCTTCTTTTCTTCTTTTTCTTTTCTGTAAACACATAATCAGGGCTTCAAATCCTTTAGGCATCACAAACTGTATTTCTCTATTGCCCTCTACTGACTGCCGGCTCACGCCGCCTTCCCGGAGAAGTGGCGAGCAACAGATCCGCGGTAGGCGCTCCTCGCCGCCCTCCCCCGGATCGATAATGATACACGATGACCAAAAGTCAACACAAATCATTCTATTTTTTCCTTTGTTACAAAACACCAGGCAAGATTTACAGCCTGTTGGCCAGCCGCGGTAGCTACAAAACGCTAAACAACAGAAGCGGGAAGCAGTTTGTAACATGGCTCTGCTAACGTGGGATGGTTTTTTTTGGTGAACAAAAGCCAGGAAAAAGTAGAGACGAATGCGTTCTGCCTTGAAATGTGGATGAATTCATCCCACTGATGCCATAAATAGTGTGCCGGGGTTCTGAGGGTTGTCTGTTTTTAAGGGTTTCGTCCTGCCAGCACTGGATGCACAGAAATACTGCCTTCTGATGGGAGTTCTGCAGGAAGGTTTTTGGCCATTTCCCCTTTATCTCTGGTGGTTTGTTTAGCACATTCAGCACCACACCTAATATGGGAAAGCCTCATGTGACAGGACCCGGGACAAGGCACATCACCCTGCGTGTGGATGGCACTGGGAGGGGCTGTTTGACTTGCTTTTTGGACAAAGATGATCTATAATGCAAAGAGAATCCAGCAAACTAGGATAAAAAAAAAAAATAAATAAAAAATAAAAAGGAATGGTCCAGTGTTGTCTCAGGAGCAGCAGAAGAAAAAAATGTATAAGCATTTCAGGCAGAATGATACTGAGGAAGATACTGAAGGAGAAAAAAGCAGTGTTATAAAGAGTGTAAAAGTGAAGGTGGAGGGGGAGGGGGGAATATAAATTTATCCTTTGCATTGTGTTAGTCATTGCTTAATAAGTACAGCATATGCTGGCTAATCAGGTCACTCAGGTACCTGTTCTCACAAGAAAAGATTAATCCATGGTGCTGGTGCAGATGCTCTGGCCCACCTGCACCACTCCAGGGGCAGAGAGAAGTCGGGTCCCAGCTCCAGGCAAAAGAAGAAATCCCTAGCATATTTCCCTTTATCTAGGCAGAAGCTGGGAAAGCACTATCTTACCTCACCATTCTTCCTCCACAACCAACTTCCCTAGGGAACAAACATGCTTGAAAAACTATAGACACAGACTCACCCCTTGAAAAAGTGTTGGAATTATTTTTGCTTACTTATGTTCAAAAAGTACTTTCATTTTTCCCTTCCGGTATTAAAAAACGGGATTATTTCATTTGCCAAAAAATCTGTTGACTGATGGACACTGATAATGTTTTGAATGGATATTGCATACTCTTTCACTCAGAAAAGGTAGGAATTCACTCAAAAATTAGGATCAAAAAAGCCAGCAACAAGGCAGCAAAAATGTAACATTGAAAGGTTAATTGAAAAAAAATTAGTTTCATTTAAAAAATAGAGTCAGCAGAGGCCCTAATTGTACCTATTATGAACATTTAATTAACGAGTCCAGATTTATTGACTGTGCAGTAAAGATGTCTTAAAGGAAGCCTTGAAATTCCTTTTTCTCTTTGCTTTTCTATTTTTAAAGTGCTTGGCTACTCCATGTCAGAAAATAAGAAATAATTATATTTATTCAAATTCCTTGATAGAATATCGAAGCCTGCTCAGCTGAATACCTCTCCTAAATGAACACCATTACCAACAGAACAAAGGATAAAAACATCTAGCAAATGAACAGGGCCAGGGGAATTAATAAAACACATCTCAAATGGTGAAAAGCTGAAGGCTTGGGGTTTGGTTTTAGGGCTTTTTTGAGAAGTTGCAGGGGAGGTTTTTGGGGTGTTTTTTTGTGGTTTTGGTAGGGGTTTTTTTAGTTTAGTTATTTTTTGGGGTCTTTTTTGTTGTTGTTGTTGTTGGTTGGTTGTTTTTAATGGGAGCACATTTGCAGAGTGCTAAAGCAAAGTCTGCAGTCGGCAAAATTCACGGAAAAGGCGCCTGCAACAGAGAGCGTGACAGATGAAGTTCAGCACTGCTGAGCATCAGGCGGATTTCGGGAGCTGCTGCTGCAGCTCTTTCACCTGAGAAGCCCTCACAGAGAAATAAAGGCGTGGCGTTTGGAGTTTTTTTGGGTTTTTTTTTTCGCAGAATCACAAAACTGTAACAGTTTGAAGGGGCCTCTGGAAATGATCCATTCCAGCCGCACTGCCAAGGCAGGGTCCCCTGGAGCAGGTGACACAGGAACGCATCCAGGTGGGACTGGCATGTCTCCAGACAAGGAGACCCACGACCTCTCTGAGCCAGCCCAAGCGCTCTGCCGCCCTCACCGTAAAGCAGCTCTTCCTCACGCTTCTTTCGCTACGGTAAAAGTTTTCTTTCCTCCTGGGAAGGCTTTTCGCACTTCGGGACAGGAGCCGGCGCGGTACCCGCAGCTGCGGCCGCGCTGCCGCCGGGCTCGGCCGGGCGCTGCACATCCCCGCCTTCCTTCCCTCCCTCCCTTCCTTCCCTCCCTCCCTTCCTTCCCTCCCTTCCTTCCCTTCCTTCCTTCCCCTCCCTTCCTTTCCGGCGGGCGGGGCTCGGCGCCATGGGCCGGCGGCGGCTGCTGGCGGCGGCGGAGCAGCTGGCCGAGGCCTGCCCGGGACAGGCGCGATTCCTGCTGTAAGGAATGGTGGCGGGGCGGGGCGGGGGCCCGGCGGGACGGCCCTGACGCTTTCCCTCTCTCCCGCGCAGGTGGATGCTCCGCAGCTCCCGAGGCGAGTGAGGGGCCCCGGGCGCGGGCGGTGGAGCCGGGGCCGGAGCGGGGCTCGGAGCTCCCGGGAGGCTGCGGAAGGACGGGAATGAATGCCGGCTCGCCCTTTCCCTGCCCTTCCCCCTGGCCCCGGCGGCTGCCGGCAGTCCTGGAGAGCTCGCCGGGAAGCAGGGCCGGGTGTCCCCCGGGGTTCAGGGAGAGGCGCCCGAGTCCGGCTCCGGCAGCAGGAGATAATGAGGCGGATGCCAGGAGCGAGCCTCTTGTTGGCTCTGAAATTTATCTCAAAGCGTTTCTTCATTCTAGCCTGAGGTCGTGTCATCTTCTCACACTTAAAATGGGCAAAGAGCTTTCTGAGACTGTGGTGTCCCTAATCTGGTAGAAGAGTGTGCCTACATGGAGCTCTTTGCAGAATTGTGAGCCTCGTTTGCTAAATATTTTTAGGAAGGAATTGCATTTTTCCCAGGAAAATCTGCAGTTACATATTGTGTAAATTTGCGCCATGCATTAATTTAGTCTGAATTGTGCTCAGCTGAGTACATTCTGGTGCTCAGCTTCCTTTTGTGTTCTAGTGTTATCTGAAGCACAAAAACATATACCTAGGTAATTTTAAAATTGAAACACACCATATAAAAGTTTGCTGATAAAACATAGTTATTTCATCCTTTTGCCTTTATTTATCTGTAGGTAATGAACGTGGATTAGAAAGGATATGTCCTTACTGCTTCCAGTTTCTGGTTCCTGATAGCTACCGGGTGCGCCTCAAACCAAAGATGAAAGTGACTCCGCAGATAGAGAAGGTTCTTAAACGTGAGGCAAAGAATTATAAACTTAACATGAAACAGACAAAGCTTTTGAGAAAGTACAGGGAGTCAAGAAGCATTCTGGTAAGGACAGTTATTTGGAACTGACATGTACATGGTATTTCCTTAAATTTCATGTCCCTATTTCAGTAGCAAAAAAAAAGAAGAGACAGAAGCCTTTCTCTTAGAAGAGGTGCCCACATATTTCTTTTTCACGAGCATAAGACTTTTCCTTTCTTTTTGGAATAACTTCTATACATAAACAACATTTTTAAAATCTGCCTTCCACAGTAGGAAGGTAGATTTAAACACAGTGACAAGACCAGTAAGCTTTTCTCTCAAAAAAATACATCGTGACTCCACATGCTAGAGAAGCTACACAAACATCTCATTTACTGCCTTTGTTTCAGTTTATCGCTTGTTGAGCAAATATGTTTTAACACAAGCTTTACTTCATGTATTTCACTAGCCTCTCATGGCTACATCAGATTATTATTGCCATCTGTATTAATAGAATTTTTTACGTTTGTCTGAATATTACTGTGTATAGGAACTAGTTTAAAACTAAACTACAGAAGTAATTTCTACAAGTTGATGTTTTTCTTGAGGCCTCAGTTATTTATCCTAAAAGTACTCAGGAATGTGACATTTAATTACTATTGGAAGAGAATAATAGTAAACATTTAACTAGTGTTTCCAAGGTATGTGCTATTTTAAAAACAGGTTATATGAATGGTTGTTGTAGTAAATGAGACAGCATCCTATTGTGCCCAGCAGTTGCTGACACACTTGGAATTTTCTTGGATAGGAGTCTTGTGATTACAGGAGTAAATTTTGTGAAACCAAAAATTATTGAAGAGTCCATTAAAAAATTTAAACCGAGGAATATATAACCAAGATTTTTACTGTCAGAGCAAGGCTGTCAGAACAAAATTAGATGCTTCATAAAGGCAGTCTCCCCAAATTGTAGATCAAAATTGAGCTTCAGAAAGGACATCTGAAAAGGTTCTTCACCCAGAGGGTGGTTGGGCACTGGAACAGGCTTCCCAGGGAAGGGGTCACAGCACCAAGGCTGACAGGAGTTTAAGAAGGACTGGGACAAGACTCAGGCACATGCTGTGATTCTTGGCATGTCCTGTGCTCAGCCAGGAGCTGAAATTTGATGATGCATGTGGGCCCTTCCAAATCAAGATGTTCTGTGATTCTTCAAACTGCTATCTTTGCTTTATTTTTCTGGTGTCACGAATGTTGAGGATGCATTAAAAACTGTCCCTTTAAGCAACTGATGAACAGAGCAGTGTCCTATGAAATAGTGATGGGCTCTTAGACTTACTGTGTAGCTGGAGAGTGTTTGTTAGAGACACACTGTGCATTCATATGAGTAGTTTAAAATTCAGTTTAAGTAGGTCCAGTTTAAACTCTGAGTAATATTTTAATCTTGGTATGTAATTACAGTTTGCTGTACTTGTGTTTTGTTCAGTTTGAATTTGTCCTGTGGATTATGATTTAAGTGTTTCTTGTCTTAAGTCTTTAAAAATGCTGTCAGCAACTGGCAGCTTTCAAAATTAGCAATGTAGATCCCCGTAATCTAATACCTGAGACTTGTGCAAATGAAAATTCCAGTGTGGTTGGGAATTAATGTGAGCAATAATGTTGCAAGTTGAACCTCTGAGAACTTTCTTAGCAAGTAGAACTTGATTTTAGATTGCTTCTGCCATAAGAAGGTATATAACATAGGGACTGTTTCAGGGCTGTAAAAATTTTTGGAGTTGACTGCTGATCCATTTCAGGGAATGGAAATTAGCTGTGAAGTGCTATGATTAATCCAGTAATTCCTGCATTGTAAAATGGTCACCTCCGTTTATATTCCATGCAGTGCTAAGTCACCATGAAATGCTGAGTTTGTTTCCCACCCTAATTTCATTTATAAGAACTAAAAACACATCAGTTCCTGAGCACTAAAATAGTTAATGTTACTTCTTTTTTTTTAGTTCATTAAGCTGACAAAATATAATGTCTAGAGGAAGTCAAAACACTTAACTAAAAATGTTTCATTTCAGCATCTCTAAAGGTGATTTTTAATAAACTATCTGAATTTACACACTTTGAAATGAAGAATGATTTGGTGTAGATGTTTTCAAAACTGCTTAGACATTTTTGTGACAGTCTTTTGAGGATGTTATTTTTAACCAGAAGCGTCACAAAACTCTTTTTCTGTCAGTCTAATTGGTGCCTCAGAAAGCTGTCTGGCTGTATTACTTTCATGTCTCTTAGTATGAGTAGTTGCCATAGCAGTAAGGGATATCAGGGATGCCTGACAGTCTCTGACTGGGTGATGTGATCAGTTCTGATGCACCTCTCAGCTTGGTGTGCTGCTGAAGTTCCCTGCAGCCTAGAGGTACACAGAGAGAAGAGAAGAGAAAGTGCCCTTTGTTTAGAACATCCTCCTTATTGTAGTAAGTACTTTTGCCCTATTACAAAGCCTCACCTTGGTTCACTAAGACTTGCTGTTTTTAGTAAGATGGATGACTGGGTTTGAGAGTTTGGTAGTTTAAATATTTTATTCCAGGATTCCCTGAAAAGTGTGCAATATAACTTCATCAGGGGTACAATATGCCAATGATTTTAGATGACAAAGAATGTCACATTTTTTAGCCAAACTCCTAGTGTATAGGAGTACTCCAGTATACTCAGCGTATCTTGTACACTCAAAATATGATTTGCCCAGTTGAGGAGCCATTTCATGTCTTGACAGGATTCTCTGTATTTCATTGTACAATATTACATTCAGCAGTATGGGTATTCTGAAACTAGTTTGTAGGGAATTGGAGTAATTTCCAGATAAACCTGAAGGACATGATTGGTTTAAGAAGCCTGAATTAAAACATGAGTTACAAAGTTATAAACATATGTTACTTTTTAGTATCTCATGTTTCATTTAAGCAAATACTTAATTTATTTCATGGTGTTTGGAGAACAGTTTGGATAATTCTTCTGATGGCTTTATAACATAAAGGTGGAAGGACTGAAAGACACCTTGGTATTTCCTTTCTTCTCTCCATAGCTGGTTACTTGCAAATCTTGCAACAAAACAACAAGATACTATGGTAAAAGCAGGGATTTTCTGGCAGCCACAACACAAAATTGTGGCACTCCAGGTATCAAATCTAGCCTGAAGACACCAGATGTAAAAATTCAGTCTGCAAAGAAAATGACACCTGTAAGCTGCAGTAGGTTGGGATCTAAAGGGAACGCTCCCTCATCACTTTCCAGGTACTTGTTTCTTTCCTATTTAAAGCAGCCCTTTGCCAAGTAGAGTGTATTAAATCTTGTTAATTTTAGATCAGTTATTTGATAAAGTTTAAATTGATAACTTAGTGTATTTCTCTGTTGGTACAGTTGAGGAGATCAGTTCTAACTTTCCAGCCTTTAAAATCAGAGATTCTCATGAAAAGCCACTGTGTGCAAAGAATGCCTAGTTACATGTGTGCCTTTAGTGCAAAATGTCTGTCCTAAAATTTGCATGACAAAGTAACACTTCTGACTTCCCACTTGCACATAGAAATACACTGTTTCTCTTGGATATTTTTCACTCAAATTATGTGTGCTTTCACAGTTAATTTTTGTTAATTCTGATTTCTCCCTTTTAAGACATTTGAATCTTTTGTTTTCAGAAGACGTGATTCTGGACACGCAACAACCAGCTCTGCTTCCAAGACTCCTCGAAACTCCAAATTTCACTTTTCTAAACTAAAACGGATGCTTGACCTAGAAGAAAAAGAGAAAAGCCAGAAGGCAGATTTCAAAACCTTCTTGACTCTACTTTAGTTATATATTATTTCAAAGTAATAAAGATTACAGCAATAAATATTGCTCCAGTTTTAGTAAATCAACAAAGTGATTCCTTTACAACTCAAGCTAACATCCTCTACCTTATGGAAGCATAGACCATGCTTTTTAGAAGGAAGGTTTGTTTCTAAGGGAAGTAATGGCCTCCCAGATAGAGATGAGAAGATAGCCAGTTTAATATGCTTGGGAATCTTGAACATGTTTTGCAGTTTTCTGATGCCCCAAGAATTAAAAGCCAGGATTTATCCTTTGAGGAAGCTGATGATTGCCCCACCAGGACAATTTAATTGTCAAGATTAAAGATTTTCAATTTATGTTTGACACAGAGCAAAGTATAAAGTCACTGTTTAGGGCTGAGGTTATAGAGGTTATAGCCTGTTCTGCTATACAGTCTGCAGTGATAGTTCCGCACATGGTGCTTCACATTGCCCCCGCCCCCCACCTGAAAAATAGAGCCAACTAGTAAATGCTTTTAACTTTCTTAGGTTTAAATATCTGTGTTTTCCTTTCCATTTGCTAGTTTAATGAATAGTTTGCTTTAAGTGCCTTTGGACTCAGTGAACACTGCTTAAGAAACAGAACCAGCAAATAACTTGATGGACTGGGAAGCAGTCCAGGACAGGAGACAATAGTTTTTTGTAAACTATACTTAAGAGTCTCAGATATTGGCATGTAACCTTTTTGTAACTCCTGTACACTTGCACAATAACTGGAAGATGCACTGCTCACTGTCTCTTATGTACATGTAGGATAAAATGAACTGCCATTCTTTAATCAAAATACAAACCTTGGAGTGTTGCCTTTTCCAGTGTAGAACTTGGCATTAATTGACATGTTGCTGTACTTACAATCCAGTCCTCTGGAAAAATACTTTGTTGATGGCAAATGTTCATTGCACAAAAGTATTTGAAAATACAAATTTTGCAATAAATTTTCTTATTAAAAGTACACACATTAGGTACTGCTGTGCTTCCCATGAGGGCATTGTGAAACCAGCACAGGCATCTGCTGTGTTTTAAGGTTCCCCAATGTTAATGTGTTTATTAGGTCAAAGCATATTTCCCCACTGTCCCTGTTTACAGTGCTTCTTACATACCATCTTGCAGTCTCAAGAATGCATTCTTTTTGGATAAAACTATAGAGAAGGGATAAAAGACATGAAGGGGGGAGCACAATCAGTGTGCAGAGAAAGTTAATGGGTGATCTATCCACAGGATCACAGGAGAGCTTGTCTAAACTGCATTTCCAAAAATGTTTTGTGGGTGGTGAGCACTGAGCTACAGGCATTCTGCACACCAAATGTGTTACCTCTGCAGCACACTATTTGTTACCAGAGATAGAACGTTGTCATGATCCAAACAACATCTTTTTTTTTTGGAATTACCAGAGTTGTCAGATACATCTAGGTATGTTGTTAAAAGCGATTGTTATTGTGAGCTATTAGACTTTATTCTGGGAACACAGAGAAAGAAGTCATTCAGTACCTTTTCTTGTTTTACAAGTGTGCTTCAAAATGGTGGGTAGAAATAATCTCCAGTGCTTTTATATTACTCCTAAGCATTTAAGAGTGCTTCTTCTGTTAACTGGACTTTCACAGAATTGGCATATTGAAAGATAGACACACATATGTATAAACATTACCTCTACACATAATATATACAGGTATATACATACATACCCACACATCAGAGGCTTCTATGCAGACACATATTACGCACATATATGCATGTCATGCACTCTTCCCTTCACAACACATTACCTTCCTGTACTTGATGAAACACTGAAAGCTGTTGGCTGTGAGAGACTTGCTGAACTCCCCTCCAAACCACTGCCAGGCCACATTACTGAATTGTGTTTGAAGAGCTGGAAGAACAACTCGAGAGAGGAAATGCCTTCAATGATTTGATTTCAGAGAGGGCAGAACTGCAGGCAGACTTTGTAAAGCAAGAGCAAGAAGGTCTCTGTTCATACAGTCCTGCAAAAAGGCATTTGATTCGTGAGTGAGAGTTATTTCCCAGCTCACACAAATTCTACTGGGCAATGTTATGTGTATCACTGGCAGTACTAGTGTTGTACCACAGTGAAAATGTTAAAAAAGTGTGACTTAGAATAACCAGCTCAACTAAATTTACAGTTCTAGAGGTAGAACATCAGACCCTTTAATGCACTGCTTTCTCACCAGAAACTGTCACACAAAATACAGGGAGTAATAAACCTCAAAATTAGTATCAAGCATTTACTCAGCACCATCAATGAGAGGAGATCTTGGCTGACTCCTAAGTATAGGGAGCAGCTGACATTAAAGCCGTTTCCCACCATGAGACTGAGAAGGCAAGCAGGGAACAGTAATTTTCAAAGATGTTTTTACAACAATGTTTTATTAAATAGGAAAGAGCATACATATAGGTGTTATTCTGAGGACATAAATTACACAAGGATTACAGGTTCTGTCAGAAAAGCACAATAATGAAACATCTTTACATTTCAAACTTTTCTTGTTAGCTTTTAACAAAGTCTATTTCTGTTGCAAACAAGTAATGAGTGCTATTGAACTTTTGCAAATTCCCACAAAAACATCATGCTTGGTAGGATACTTCAACTATTGTAGATATGAAGTCAGAATTAGATTCCTAAATAACACGATGGAAGAGATTTACTACTTAATCAAGATAAATGACACACTGAAATAGGAGCCGAGACAAAATTGGTCATTCATTAGAAAAAAATTCCACTTCAGACACTATGTTTGAGTCTGCTTTCTTTACTTGCAGGAATAATCACTGTGATTAAATGTAATGAGCAGAACTGGCCTAAATATTTGTAAATGTAACCATCAAATTTTAGATGTGCTGGTTTTCACTGATTTTCCCACTGAAAAAAACCCACACCCACAGATCTATTTCCTTATGTTTCAAAAGGCTCTTCTACAGAGAGCCAACCAAGCCTATCTATGATTTCCACATCCTCCATGGTCATCTGCACTGCTGGTTACTGCATCCTACATATGTTAGTATGTGTCCTACATATGTTAGAGTCATCATTGAAATACCAGACTGAGTTGCCACTGACTTGAGAGAGCAGAACTAGTCTGTGCAAGTTCTAACACAATGGTTTTTCTTAAGCTTCTGGTAAACAGGAATGTAATTTCATCATAATGAAAGCTCTCAATTTGACACTCAGAAGACTACTCGGATAAAATACACAATAAGCATGTGGTTTGGACTGTGTTGCTAGGGATTAACAGAGGTGCTTTAATATACTAATACAAACATTAACAGAGTGAATTAGACAAGCTAATATTATTGCAGGCTGTAGTCTAATTTCCAAAAGAACTCATGAAACATAATTTCTAAGAATGACAATTTTTGTAACTAAGGACTTCACATTTATTTTTAAAACTACAAAAGTGGGGTAGTATTCCTGGCATCTTTCAAAAAATTCTGCAAAAAACACAGTTTGAGCTTGCAAACACTAGAATATACATACAAGCAGTCCCAGTGACCTCCAAGGTAAGCATTCTCATATGGCAAAGTGCTGCAGGAATCTCTTTGCTTTTTTTTTCAGAAAATGCTTAATAAAAGTGCAATATAGTGAAGCAAATACTCTAATTATTACGTCTTTATTAATAGATGAAAAATATTCAGATATTTTATAATTGTGCCTTTTGTAGGGCAGGCATTCTGTATTGCTTAGAGCTAGACCACATTAGAAGAGGTAGGCAGGGTATGCCCACACATTTTCTTTCCCAGGATGGTAACACCTCAAAGCAGTTCTGTGGTACAATGCCAACTACAGGTAAAACTGCCCAGTCTCACAGTTATTTGTTTTGATGGAAGCTGACATGTGGTTTGCTTTACCTTTCCACCCAGGCATGTTCTCCCTTCTGTCTCCTCGGCACCCCACCCTTCCCCACCCAGCCTCTTTTCTTCCTGAGATGTCAGAAGTACGTACATTAAGCTTTGGAACCTGAGAATTTGGAGGTATTTTTTGACACTACAGGGCTGCATCTGTACTGTACCATGCTATCTCCTGCTATACTATTACAGTTATAGTATAAATCTCCTAACTACTTGATACCCGACATCTTTCCCATGTAAATAAAAAAAAACCCAGCGTACCTACCATTCATACATGATACTTGCTCTAAGAGTGACTGTTGCCTTTCACAAGTCCTCTTTTCCAAACAAATATTGAGGGATTATTTCCAAAACCCCAGCAATGAAAAACTCCTTGAAGTAAACAATTTCACGGTAAAATGAAGAAAAATATACGCCAAAAATAACACTCTCTCAAAATTAAAACGTATATACATCAAGAAAAAGTTGAGTTTTTTTCCTCACTCTTTATCCGTTCTACATTACCTGTACATAAGCAATGTTACCACTAGGAGTTATGAATAGGAAAAACAAATCCAGTGAAGTAAGTGTCATACTTTTTTTAAAACTGTTGAGAGATCAAGAAAACTCAGCAGTCAACTTTATTATTATAACTAATTTCAATTCAGGCAGCAAAAGATTGCTTAAGCTTAATTCCCTATGATTCTGAGTATCCAACATAGATTTTACAGCACAGTCTAATAAGCCTTGTCACTGCACTTATGATCACCTCTGGGAACAAATTAAGATTTCTATGCATGGAATTCAACCATGAACTCACTATTTATGCCTCTTGTTTCATGATTTGTTTTAGAATTCCTAATAGATTAAGCTGGTTTAATATTTATGGGTAATCTCAGTTCAGTCAGAGAGGGAAATAGAGGTTTTCAAACCAGGCTGGGCCTGGGAAAGAGCTGGAAAGGAATGTAAGTAATTCTCTATCTCTCTTGTTCACATTGTTTATAGGCATGTTCTGCCACTGTGCATCATTCACTGAGCACCAATGGTGTAAGATGTTTTTACTTTAAGACCAATGAAATTAGGCTACATGATGCTCTCTATAAAAAGAGAAATGTATTTAAAATAAATCAGTTCAGTTCACTTCATCTAACCTTCTAAATTAGTCTCTTTGTTCCCATCCTACCTCCACAGCAACAAATATTTACCACAAATTTGGTGCTATTCTTTAGTAAAACTGAGCTTTAACTGCAACTGCAATGCACATACATGTGAGAATTTATGTGATGAGTTTAACATACAAGAACAGAACTATTTCAAACATTAAAATTGTATCAGAACATTTTCTTATCAAGAATCTACACTGAAAAGATGTCAGTAAGTGTTATTTAATTTTGCATATTACACTTAAACTAAATAAACTAAATCCTCTGGATTCAATATAGTCAGGTTTTTTTTCCTATGGAATGGAAAATTGCCACTCAAAACTTTAAAATTTTTGGACCTGTAGTGAGCTCTGATAACTATTTTGCGCACTCCTATTTATCAGTCAGAATTTTTTAGGAAATTGTTATTCTACATTGCATGCTATAGACTATTATGTCAACAGCTTGTATTTCTATATTTTCAGGCTTTTTCCCTATGTAACTGAGTCTAATTCTTGGCAGCTTCCATGAGAAAAGGTAACTGGACTGAATTACTTATGCCCAAGTGTATCTATTTTAAAGAGAGTGGTTATTCTCCATTCACATCCTGTAAGTATTCTAGTGATTAGCCCTGTAGAAGCCAGTAACAAGTGACAGATAACTACCTTGAACAATTTCACTCCAAGACTATTTTGAATTGTTGTGGGTTTTGAAAAGAAAGAACAGCTTTTTGTAAAAAAATTTGCTTTCATGTGAGGTGTATTGAACTTGTTAACTGTGAAGTTAACTGGTACAAGACAATGCCTGACAAGTGCAAAACCATAAACAAAATGCAGTCATAAAACGATCCTCCAACTCAAAACACTTGCAGCCCAGGTTTTTTAGGTCATTAAATGCCAAAGGTACAGGTAGGCATTTTTTAAATCACTCAATGATTACATGGCTCATTGCAATGGATTGAAAAGATGTAACTTTCTGGCAATGCGCTAAATGCCTATCTGTATCTTATGTGAACTTAAAAGCTGATGCACAGTATGGAAACAAGGATTCTTCACAAATTAAGCAGTTCCCAGAAAAATACCACGTTTATGCCATGCAGCAGAGTTTTTTAACTGGGCAATAGTTTTCTGCTGTTTGAGTTATACACAGGCCTGAAAAGTCTCCTCCTGTAGTGTGAGAAAAAGACAATCAAGATTTAGAAATATTTGCTGGAGCAGGTGAAGGTGGGGAGGTGGTAGCCCATGCTGGACTCCAGGGTTTCTCAGTGGAAGAGGATGCACAGTGCAGCTGTATCACCATTTTGTTGCATGTACGGCTGGTACATTGTCAAATTTTAATAATGGGCACTTAGAAACTGAGACAGTTTAGAGAATGACCTTTCAATTTAATTAAAACTGTAAAATGGCTTCACATTTCTGGGATTAACCTTTTTAGATGGAAGCAGATGTTCCAGAAAGGGATTAAATTGCAAATGAATGGTCCCTTGATTGAGAAACTAAGCAGCTGTAAAAAGCTACTATTTCAAAACATAATTAAACTGGTCAATTTTATAGTTTCTACATGCTGACTTCTAAATGATACAAAAATATTGTAGTATTTCGAGTAGTTTGAAGATCTGCTCAGTGTAAAATGATTAATATTTTCCAATAAAAAATTGTTTGTTAGCATTTACTTCCAAAAAACCCACATTGTTTTGGGAGTGGGTAATCTAAATGTAATGGACAGTAAGATCACTTTTAACTTTGCATTAAATTGCATCTTCCTTCTTGCAAACATAAGCTTGTGATTTCCACGTTTCACTCTCCCACTAGCAACGGAAATGTCTCAAGTTAAAATTATGTTTTGATTATATACTGATCTACATTAAATACAGGGTACATAAGAAAAATTTTAGCATGTTTTTTTTACAGGGCACCCAACTAAAATCTTTACAAAAGATAATTATTCATTCTTCCATGTAACAGACAGAGATGCCACTTTTATAAATGTACCCTTATGTTCACTCACCAATAAAATAGTAAACAAATCAACTTTTTAAACCATTTTTTATAAATTATTAAAGTATTTTTACTGACACTCTGCAACAATATACAAAAATAATACTACAAGAGTACCGATTGGTCTGGCCTACCCCTCATTTCACAGAAAAGCAGAGGTTGTGGGGGGGATGTTTGGTAATCAATCATCGCTGTAGATGTCTCCTGCAAACGGTAGGTGTACGTGGCTGCCCGTGACGTTGGGAAGTCGAGAGAGATCAGGCAGGTTCTGGATGCGTGACCTGAGTTCTTTCCGCACTTGGGACACTCTGGCTAACTTGCGTTTGTACTCCTGTAATGCAGAAGAATTCAATATGAGGTTTTATTGCTATTACCATCCCTACTACTTACTGCACCTGACAGTTTCCAAACTAAGGATTCCTTCTGCAAGTTAGGTAAACAGCCTTTAACAAGTGAGAACCCAGAGATTTAGGTATTTAGGAGGCAGAGGTATCAGCTCCAGCATTTTCCCATCAATGGACTTCAGAAGCATAACCACAGAATTATTTTGCCTTGAATTCTAAGAATATAAATGCTAAATAAGAAAGACAATCACAGCTAACTCAACCACAGGCTTTTCTCCATGTAACTAGGAGAATGGGATTATTCTTAAAACTTAATTAAGTAGTTGTTACACATATTCTATTATCAATAACAGAGGCAGGAAGGATAAACTTACTGATGTTAAAGAAGTTACTTTCATCTCATACTGCTGAAATAATAAAAAACAACCAAATACCCCCTAACTAGGCCTAACAGATTCCACTGAGCTGATCAAAGGCAAGTATTTTGTATTAACTTTTACAATAAAAACATATTTCCTCAGTACATTTATGGATTTAACCCTGGGTTTTCAGAAACCTTTTGAATTGGGAATTTAGAATTTCATATTATGTTGGAATACAGGTCAAACCACTCACAATTGAAATAATGATTATGAGGCCTTTTTCACTTGAAACAACATTATATAAATAAAATTTAACATTGTAAATCAGTGCACTAGAATATAGTCAGTGGTCACCTCTTAAGAACACAAGATATAATGGAGAAGAATACCAGCTTTTATAAAATTAAAACAGTTATTCCAGAATATAAAAAGATTAACGTATAATTCACAGGAATATTTGGATTTAAAATACTTGGAAACTGTGGAAAGCAAAAGAAACTAAGCACTAGCAGACAAAGCATACTTCATGAAAAAATACCACAATTCACAACACATCAAATGCAGATATTTTCTAGTGTGGCTGCAGGTTTTGCTGCAGCCCGAGAATGGCTGGAAGTAACAACACATAGGTAATCTACAACTTGGATAATCAGCCCAGGGATAGCCAAGATCTCATGACACTTCTAAGTAAGAGTGGAGGAAAATTCTACATGATCCTGCAACAGTAACAAATACAAACACTTGATAGTTCCAGAAGTATGAAAACACTGTGCAAACGTCTATAACAGGTAACAATCCTGCTGGTTCTTTACAAGCTCTAAACATAATTTTAAATATGTTACTATATTGTTAATAACATGGAGTAGTAAGGAAGAACAATGAAAAGACCTTATCATAATAAAATCCAATACAATAGAAAAATGTAATAAAGAATGTTAGATGATTGGGACATGATCAAGATTATTGGACAAGGTCCAACACAAATTTTAAAAGCTTGCAACTACATGACCTTCTTACCAAGGGCGGTAAGAAAACCATGAGATACCTTAAATTCTTAATGAGAATAGTAATGGGTAGCTAAAAAAAATTATCAAATCTTTACACAGAAGAAAGAAAAAGTGTCCCTGAATCAGGATCATCATTCCTTGGCATCATTTATATTTCAAAATCAAATATTACATGCGGATTCTTACAAGATACTAAACACAGTGAATATACTACAGATGCCCAGTCAGTGGAACTGTAAACACTTGGTAACAGTACACAGGGTAAAGCAGCATTTATTTTAGGATACAGGTTGCCAAAGAAGTCTTACAACTCTGTGTCCCTTGGTCCTGTGAAAAACATCGCTTGCTCACACTTGTCCATAACGTTCTCTTCTGTGTAAGCAACTTCAAGACACAGCTGTGGAAATTAAGGCCTGTATCCTGACATTGTACCCCTACACTAATGCCCAAAGGCCACAAATACTTCACTGCTTCATTTTACAGCAGCATTCAGAAACCTCACTGAGCAGACTGTGCAAGAAGTGTAGTCTTTTGCCAGCATGCAAAAGGCCAATCACAGGCATTCTAACTATGCATTTTAGTCCAGGATGCCAACTCCTATTATTTTAGGGAATAGATTTTAATGCCAGAGGGCAAGACCAGCTTCAGATTTCATTGTTTAATAAAACAACCATTTTGGTGCTATATAGAATCCTAGTTAACTAGAATCCCTATTTTCAGAAGCAGGATGTCTGGAGATTGCTCATTTGGAAACAAAGATTTTGAGGAGGCTAGGTGATCTTGCCTCCACTGTGAAAGATATACTGCTGTACAGAAGAGGATGAGCAGAACCGTAAGCAGAATCAAAACACTCAAGAGACCTAAAAATCATAAAATATATTAACTACAAAATCCCTCATGCAGTTAATTCTTGTAAAGAGCTGAATCCTGCCCAAGTTCATTCTCTATCAATGAAGAATGTAAAGCAACAAATTGGTATTCCTTCACAAGCTTGAAGCCTGAAGCTAGGCAAATAGACACAGTCACTTAGCAACAGACTCAGCAGCTATATTCTTGCTAAACTTTACTCCAAAACCTGAAGTGTGCCTTATATTAGATTGTCATTTCCTTGACTACCTTAAAGTTCCCTTTAGCTGATAATAAATCATTTCCATAACAACATTGCATTTCTGACATCCAGCATTTTCCATATAAATCTGTCTGGGACTCGTTGCCTAGTGACTATCAGCTTGATCAATACTATTAACAGTAGGCTCCTTTTCCTCACTAAGGAAAATGTTCTCATAAATTGTGTCTCCCACATAACACAGTCATCTTCCTCTCACCAACATGTCTTGCATAATGCACTCTAGGGAGACAAAATTTTTTCCTTAAGCCTTCTCAGAAATATGAAACTCTGAGAAAATTTGCTCCAAGTTTTTACCACAAAACTAGAGTAAAAAAAAAAAAAAAAAAAAAAAAAAAAAAGTAAGGTTTAACAGCTGATTATATTATTCAGCAGCATAAATTATAGAATGCAATTTTAATCCAATTTTGGTAATCCAAAGTATATGTGAGATCTGAAACTGCAGGTGAGATGTTCACAGTTATCCTCCCCCACAAAGAGAAAAATTATTCACCTATCCAGAGCACCTAATTGCCCATGACACTCCTGAAACAATTCTAGAAATCACTGGAGATGTCCAGTTTTTATGACTGGTGAGAAAGTCCAAAAGAGGACTGATTTTCAAGTACAGTTTAGAGGTATTTTAAAGGCAGCTGCTGTTCAGAGAATGATTCTATTTAAAACCAATTACCTCTTCTGAAAGGTTTGCTTGTGTATTTTTATGGCTGTTATTGTAGTCCTGGCATGACCTAAGTAGTCCTGGACTGCTGGAATACAAGTATTCATTATCAACAACACTCACTGTATGTGCAGCCTTTACTGTTTTACAATAGCACGCACATGTACCTACAACCTTTTTCCTCATTGTGTATGTTAAGAGTGTGACAATGAGAGCAGAGAACTAGGAACTGGGATATCTAGGTGTTATTTCTAGTATTGTCATTCCATTAGAAATGCTAGATGCTATACAACCAAATAACAATTTAATCCTATTTTTGACACTTTTAACTGTGGAAATGTGCATGGAGAATTTCAATTTGATTGTCATTATGCTGATTTTAAGATAAACTTCAAATAACCCCTGTATAAATATGGCAAGATTTGAGATATTTACTCAAGGATAGGCAGAAGTATGATGCTTTATTTTGCTACACTGAGCTTAATCTGCATTACTTCCTGCCTATGGAGAACCTTACTTTTGGGATATATGGGCAACCTAATGTTTGGAATTAAAGTCTCTTCAATTTCTCCAGTGGTTTAAGCAAACCCTACTTTCAGGCAATATTTGTTTCTACTTCCAGTCATAAAAGTAGGTTTATGAGGTAATTGAATTTATTTGGCTCATTAGAGTCCCACCAATTACTACAGTTTCCATTACTGGACAATGTATATGGATATTTTGTGAACGTAATGCTAGTAACATATGGATTCAGAATCTAGATTAATAGTGATTCTCTATCAAAAAGTACCAGACAAAAAAAGCCAAATAATCTTTGATTAGACATTATAGACATCATAAATAATAAAAATGTGGGCAGATCAAACAAGCTGTGCACTGCAGAGAATATATTCCCTTCCAAATAAAATAGATCTTTATAAAGATGTTCTGCACTAGGAAGGTGGTACAGATAAGAAACTTAATGATATGCTTTCCCTTTATAACATTGATAGAACTTTGAACCTTCATCTGATCACTGAGGCTACAGAACACACCAAAATACAGTGGGGTAGAGTATGTATAGCAATGCAAGAATAAATGGTTTGCAGGAAAGATTTAATCTGCACCCTCATTAGCTACAGAAAGGTAAGGTGGAAATAAATATTTCAATACAGAGAAACAAAACACAGATGTTTAAAAGGCTTTTAAGGTGTTGAGGGCATGTGTGTACCATCAGCATCCATGGCCTGTATGTACACAGTATTTAAAACTGAGATCTCTGACTTTCTAGGTCCATTCCAACCTTCAGTTCCAGGTACAGATGTCAGAGCTGCATCACAGAGCAAAGGCTTCTCCTGTACTGTGTCCAACAGTGCAGAAACTACTCAAACTCTTTGAAGGTTCAGATGAAAGCATATGTCATATCATAGCCTGATATCTAGATTCTGAAGTTCAGAATCACAGTATTTATAGACTCTACCTAGCTAGACTCTACCTCCCTAGACTCCACCTCATCCAGTTTGGGTATTTTTCTGCAAGGGAAGACTGACAATTAGACTTAGAGGACTTAGGTAAGCCTCACTTGGAAAACAGATGAGCATGGTTAAATTTCATGCTGCCTTTAAAAATTTGGCTTGGCTTTCATTTGTCAGCAGTACAATTAAAAGCTCAACCTATTTACCAGTGTTCAGGATAAATGAAGCCCTGAAATAACTTTTAAGAGACTGAACCAATATCCATAAACTTTACACACAAGGTAGAAGAACTAAGGACAGTTACGACAATCTTAGGAAAGGACAGACTTGGCTAACCTTCCATTGCGCATTACCTACTTCCTAGAAAAGATATTTCTGGA